GTAATAATAAAGCGGTCTTACGTGACTTTATCACCATCCATGACCCTGCTCCTATAGAATCCTCTCGAATTATTATTCAAAATTCCACTGTATTGTATCTGAAGCGAGTAGTTATGATCCTTTTCGAACTGGGGATCTACTGTGATGATTAGGATCTCATGCTGTTTGTCCTCCGTGTACTCATTCTTGAAGGTCTTGTTTGTATCCAAATCCTCGAACTTAACGTTGTGGATTGTCAATTCTTTTGAGTTTAATGTCAAAGTATTGTTCGTCGTCAGCGCTCTTAACGTTATGTTCACTTCACCCTCAAATGTGAAATTCTTTAAATCAGGCGTGAGGTGCAATGTGTAATCGGTCGGTATCACTACGTCGGAGGGCAGCCGGTATTTCAAATCCACTTCCTTCTCGTCAATATTCTTGAGCATGAAACTCGCCTGACAGATCCCCAGGACGAGGAGAAACGTTACGAAGGTCCTCGTCATTTTAGATTCGGTGATCAGTATCCAACTCTTCCTTCCATCCATCCAACAATTCACCGTCGTTTCCTAATTTGTAATTGCCATTTAATGAGACGGTATTATTGCCGAGAACGCCTCACTTTTTAACTTCGGACCATTGAGCACACGATGTTTACTAATTTACTTTCAGTACATTTAATTCGTCGCCGCGTTCCGCGTATATATTCAAATGGATAAATGCAAGTGAGCAACCGTTCACGCACCGCGCTAAATGTCCGATTTTTATCTCTTTAATTGTTATATGTTTATGGCGTGCATGTCACTTGTTAAAAACCATGTCTCACTTTGCAATTTAACAAAGCAAATTGTTGTTCAGGAAGACCTCTAGAATCATCCACTTCCGACTGTAACACTTTTTGTGAGACAGTCTGTGTACCAGCTGGAAAGAGGCGAGAATGGTCCTCCTGAAGGAAAGTAGGTCTGTGGACTCCCCGTCCGCATATCGGTCCATATGTCTATTGGACGAGATGGATAGGCTCTTCGAGCGGGTGCTCGCTGTCTGAGCCTGTCAGAATGCCAGTATGTTTTCCGGCAGGGACGCTCCACCATTGATACCATCATGCGAGTGAGGAGTCTGTTAGAGCAGACCATTTCCCAGGACAAGATGGCATTGGCCCGATAACGTCCCCATACTTGCGGGACGTTATCGGGTCATACCTTAGCAAGCGAGAGGAGAACACTTTTCTAAGACCATACATCGAACTACACCACCGAGTAGTGGATTGCGTGGTTTCGCAGGGGTCCGTTCTAGGCTCCCTGCTATGGAACCTCGCGTATGATGCAGTTCTTCTGGTTGATCTTCCCTCCAGCGTGTATGTCACTTGTTATGCAGATGAAATTTCCATACTCGTCGTGGGGAAAAACTTCAGGAGGACCACTCGGCTCGCCGAAGTGGCGATGGACATTGTTGTCGCTCGGATCCACGCGTTGTGCTTGAGCATGGCTGAGGCTACGACAGAGATCATGTTTTTCTATGGTCTCTCCCGTCGGCCTCAGCCACTCCCAGCGTAAATCCGTGTGGCAAATTCCTTTGTCAAGGTGAGCCAGTACGTCAAGTACTTGGGACAGTGTTAGCATTTAATTTGACGACGGCGTGGCGGTTTATTAATTAATTCACCATTAAATATATTTTTAGTTCAAGTTAAATCAATTAATTTATTATCCTCATAGAGTATTTTATTTATCATTTCTTTTCTCTTTTTCAATCTGTATTGTTATTTGCTTTATTTTTAAATTCATATTTTTGCCATCTATTGTTAGTATCTCAAGTTTGTCACGTTTTCTCAAGTTTTCCTGTGTATACTCTAAGGAACTTATGCTCGTAGATAGTAATAATAACTATAATAATGATAATAATGATAGTAATAATAAAGCGGTCTTACGTGACTTTATCACCATCCATGACCCTGCTCCTATAGAATCCTCTCGAATTATTATTCAAAATTCCACTGTATTGTATCTGAAGCGAGTAGTTATGATCCTTTTCGAACTGGGGATCTACTGTGATGATTAGGATCTCATGCTGTTTGTCCTCCGTGTACTCATTCTTGAAGGTCTTGTTTGTATCCAAATCCTCGAACTTAACGTTGTGGATTGTCAATTCTTTTGAGTTTAATGTCAAAGTATTGTTCGTCGTCAGCGCTCTTAACGTTATGTTCACTTCACCCTCAAATGTGAAATTCTTTAAATCAGGCGTGAGGTGCAATGTGTAATCGGTCGGTATCACTACGTCGGAGGGCAGCCGGTATTTCAAATCCACTTCCTTCTCGTCAATATTCTTGAGCATGAAACTCGCCTGACAGATCCCCAGGACGAGGAGAAACGTTACGAAGGTCCTCGTCATTTTAGATTCGGTGATCAGTATCCAACTCTTCCTTCCATCCATCCAACAATTCACCGTCGTTTCCTAATTTGTAATTGCCATTTAATGAGACGGTATTATTGCCGAGAACGCCTCACTTTTTAACTTCGGACCATTGAGCACACGATGTTTACTAATTTACTTTCAGTACATTTAATTCGTCGCCGCGTTCCGCGTATATATTCAAATGGATAAATGCAAGTGAGCAACTGTTCACGCACCGCGCTAAATGTCCGATTTTTATCTCTTTAATTGTTATATGTTTAACGTGCAAGTATTTATCAGTGCCGAGTTAGAAAATAATAATTTTAACTAGCAGTTAATACCGATAGGAGAATCGCGCGTTTACGAATTCGAACTTTTTTTCGTTCTATTAGATTATTTTTTGAAATCGTTCGAAGTATAACTGGGTTGACAACGTACCTTGCGAACGAGCGAAGAGAGGAATTTGGCTACCGTAACAGGGTATATTTGCACATCGGCGGGCGACGTACGACAGATCACACATTTACAAATGTCCCTGCTTTATAAGGTGGCAGCGGTGGGGCAATTATTGAAATATGATTGAATTTCGTAATCTTATCAATTGACGTTGTCGCGATCAGTGTCGATGCGATCGGCGTTATTGTATCGCCGCATCGGTTATGTAGTAGAATCGTGCTCCCGTCGTTGTAAACAATTATTTAGAAACTAACTGACAGCCATCCATTTTATCAGACATTTTCGATGTTCTATATGGAGCACGTAATACATTTTAGATTGAAATCGTCGAGACACAAAAAATTCCGACCTAATCCATTCAGAAATAAAATCCTTTGTACCAATTTTCACATTCATGTATTACTAATCTGTTTTGATAACTACCGGAAGGAATTATGTCGCGTATCATTAATGATTGTTTAGCCAGATTTGATGTTTGATAGAACGACGATAAATATTATCGCAATCGATCAACGTGAAATAAATACATTTCTTCTGTTCTCCAAACAACATATTACGTTATAACAACAATTGTACATCAGTACATAAAATAAATACATATGGCACTGTGCAACATAAAACTTTTTGCACTATTCACTACGTGAGTCTTACAGAGTTTCTCATGCCAAAAATGAATCCAGAATAATTGTTCAGAAATGCTCAGAAAGGTTCTATCACGTATATTTTCTGAAAAATAACAGTTTTTGCAGAAATAGTAAGAAAGTATACTAATGAGAGGTTACAGTAATGATTAGTAATATTCTATTAGGAAATATTTCATGTTGTCCATCAACATGATTTCTTCAGATAATTGGACTATTGAAGGATCATTAGCGGACCATACCAGGTCTGTTATTGTATGCTGTTGAAATAAGATGCAACGACTGTGGGCTAATCGATAATCTCCTGAAATAAGAGGCAACGATTGACAACTAATCGATGATCTCCACCAGGACGAACTATGGAGCGAACGCAATGGGCTATTTTATATTTAATGTATGGAGAAAAGTGAAAGAATCCTCGAAGCAGGTAGTGTTAACCAGCAGGCAGTCCGCCTGCCGATTCGGTGTCAAACGTGGACCCCTGAGCTCCCTGCTTTTCCACGCTTTTCTCTATACCCAGTCCTAAAGACTACGGCACCGGTTACGTTGCCGAAAGTACGTCCTATGATCTACAGAGACCTACGTTTCCATTACGTTACGTCGACGTTACGTCTGTGTAGATAGACCTTTAGTCGTTCGTCTTTAAGTTCACCTGCTCCTAGAAGAGCTTCAGTTGGTCAATGTGCCGAAGCCTGACACTCGAAAGTAAAACACATGGCCATGTCTGTCAGTGACCTGTCCTAAACATAACTGCTGTTTCTTCACTGCTGAGTATCTTCATTTCAACGAAAAAACTCCATATACCAGTTACTGCTCAAATTCTTACACATTCGGTAAAGTCACCCGTAAAAAGGCAAGGGCAAAACATGTGGCAGTCTCCAAAGCAGCGAGGAGAGGTGTGAATATCGATACTATTTGACGCAAAATCAAAAATAAGATTTTTTTAAGAGATACGCTAAACATCTACCAGTAATCATTGAGGGAGAGTCGTCTACGTATAATCACGATCGAACTTCGCCCGGGCTCGTCTGATTAATCAATTATTCTAGGAATAAAAGTCTTTTCAATCAGATTATTGTCTTAATCGATATCATGCGATAAATAATGAATGAATATTACATATAGCTATGCTTCTTGAATAATTCTATACATATACACAAACAAATTATTAATTATAGTTATATAAATTGTAAAATGATAATTGAGAAAGGTAGAGATGTTTTGTTTGATAGGTCATTTAATATCGAATCTTTATCATGAGATAACAAAGGAATGGATATTACAAATTGCTTGTTGAATCATTTCATATAAATAAATAAATTAATTATACATGAAATTATAATTTCATAGTAATATATTTTTTACAGTAAATTATTTAATAATATAAACCTTTATTGAGATAGACAATTCACTGAGCTTGTCAGTTAGCTTACAGTTTCT